ATACATACATATGTATATGCATATCTACGTGTTTGTATATATATTTATAAATATATATTGTATATGTATGCATGCGCGCGCGCGCGCGCGCGTGATTGTGTGTGTGCCAGGGATGCCTCTCATAGTTCCTTAGATACTCAACGTAGTATTGTCTGCAAATTGTCATTTTTTATGGCAGGTACACATACTTGTATCTATGCATTACCTTAGTATTACTTTAGTAGAGCTTATTCACACGGTCCATGGTAATCACACATATGACACTATTTACAATTTACACATTCAGCATTGCATATGCATCCATGATGAACCCTCACGTATCTTCACAAACATAATGGAATTCTCTCACGAATATACTGTGAAGAAAACAGAAGTCGCCTTCCGCTCCTTCCCCGCAGCTGACGTTCTACATCAATTCTGCAAATCGGCCTATCTACAATATGTACATATGTACATTTATATGTGTTCTTGTGCGTGTGTGTATATATATGTGTGTGTGTACATATATATATATATACATATATACATATATATGTGTGTGTGTGCGTGTTTGTATGTATGTTTGTGTGAGTGTATGTAAATATGTATATATATGTATATATGCAGGTATGTATATTTCCTTATATGAACGGTAAAACACCGTGTTGATACTATAGTAGAAAAACCCACTATGCAAATACTAAATATATATAGAGAGATAGATAGACATATATATCCTTTTGTATATATTCATATATATATGTATATGTATGTATATATACATGTATATATTTAGGAACGTATATACATATATATATATATGTTTATGTATGTACTCACACACACATATGTGTATATATATACAAATATATATGTATATACATATATACATATATTTGTATATATACATTTATATGTATGTATATATACATATATATTTATATATATGTATTTATATTTACATATATATGCTATGTTCAGAGGCGATTTTTTTGTATATATGTATATGTATATTCATGTATGTTTATATATATATATATATGTGTGTGTGTGTGTGTGTGTGAACAATACGTAACAAGACCGGATAGCAGATTCACACCTCGGGTCCAAGTAAATGCCTTTCTCCTTGCGCAGGATGCAAGTGTTGCCTTCCTTTCTCTTTTCACACAGGGATAAACATCCGCCCTCCAAGGAAACCACCGCATAAAAGGGCACGTGCCTAAGACGACTGGAGACACAGGGAGACGGCAGACAGGCCACACAGGGTCCAGCTCCACTACCTCGTCCTCCACCCGGGGACACGGGGGTCTCTTATATCTATCTTCAGAAATAAACCAGCAAGTTAAGACCCCTTTCATTGACCGCCCAAGACTATCTCTGCTACGCTTACATCTAGTGGCTTGCGTGGTCACTTACGCTTACAATATATATATATACTATGTTCAGAGGCGATTATTCTGCCCGTCAGTCCAAAAAACAATCACAGCATCTAACAAACCTGAAATTCACAACTTCATACACTGCATATGCTTACAACCCGTTATGCACAGAGGCAGATATGGAAAACGATGTATACAAATATCTGGTTTTATATACACACGTGTATGTGTTGTCGATAACAGTTATCTACACATATCCGGTCCTATCCTCGTAGCCACTTCTTATTATTCCAATGCTATCACCCCCCCCCCCCCTTCTTTGTAGTTATTCATGTTATTTATTCCTATGGCAGATACTCATTAAGATGAAATAGAGGACGTTTATTGATATAAAAAAAAGAAATACTCTAGTTTTTTTCGTTTAAAGTCACATTTTAATCATGTCTTTCTTCTCTTTTTTCTCTGTATTCCCTCTCTTCTTTCAAGATAAAAGAAATAATTTTAACCCTCTCTTCTCTTATTCCTCATTTCCTCACCTTCGTTCTTGGTGTACCTTTTCGTGTGCTTTTTTTCTGTTTTTCTTCATTTTCCCTCTTTTCCTATCTTTCTCCACTTTCTTCTTCCATTTCCTTTCTTTATTTCTCTCATTTCTTTCTATTTCTTTCTTTCCTTCGTCTTTTCCTTTCCCTTCTTCCTTATCGCTTTCGTTTATTCTTTTTTTTCTCTTTTGTTTTTCTTTTCATTCTTTACTACTCCTTTCAGTCTTATTCTTTTGGATATATATTTTCCTTCTTCTATTTACTCCTTTCTTTCTTCTTTCTTTTATCGTTATTCTTCCATTCTACTCTCCATTCGCTCTCTATGTCTCTTTCCTCTTTCTATAAAGTTGATTACTTCTGTTTACTATCATCATTATCTTTTCCTTCTTCACCTTATTATTATTATTATCATTCTTTTTTCTTCTTTTTCTTTTCGTTTTTTTCTTATTCTTCTTTTTTTCTTATACTTCTTTTCCTTTTCTTTCTTCTTTTCCTTTTCTTCTTGTTCTTCTCATTCTTCTTTATTTCTTTTCCTCCTGCTCCTTCTCCCCTTTTCCTCTTTCTTTGTGTTACTTTTCTTTCTATCCTTAAAGGCAAACGTTCCAAAAACATATAAGACAGACGTAAGCGTAAGAGAGATGGTCTTGGGGCAGTCAGTGAAAGGGGTCTTAGCTTGCTGGTTTATTTCTGAAGATAGGAGACCCCCTAAGAGACTCCCGTGTCCCCGGGTGGAGGGCGAGCTGGTGGAGCTGGACCCTGTGTGGCTTGGCCTGTAGACGTGTCTCCCTCATCGTCTTACGCAAGTGCCCTTTTATGCGGCGGTTCCCTTCGAGGATGTTTATTCCTTTGCGAAAAGAGAAAGTCGGGCGACATCTGCGTCCTATCCAAGGAGAAGGGCAGCTGCTTGCTACGTATTATTGACACCTACGACCTTTTATATGTTTAACTTCCTGAGTGTCTGCAAATCCGTGTGCACATGCAGGCGATTTGTCTGTGTACGCGAGTGGATTTGCATATAGGGTGTCACACTATAGGATATATAATGAGTATTTATATACTCATTATATACATACATGCTTATATGTATACATATGCATATATATACACATATATATGCATACATACATATATATATTTATACAGACACATATACGTGCATACATAGATACATACATGCATATATATATACATATATATTTTTATATATGTTATATATACATACATATATATATATAGGTACATTACATATATATATATATATATATATATATATATATATATATATGCAAACATATATATATGGGTGTATGTATGTTGTGTGTGTGTGAGGGTATGTGTATATATTTATGTATTCATATGAGGATAGGTATATGTATGTGTGGTTTATGTGTGGGGGAATATCGTAATCTCGATCCTACCTATTATGTCAGCTGAAACACTGCAAATTAACTGCCAATTGTTGACTAAAATAATTAAAGTAATTATGAGACGATTGTATTGGCTGTTATTGTTCACAAATAGAATTCCTGATTTAAAGTATCCAGAGTAATTTAAATGGGAATGCACAGTATGTTCATAGGTAAGACTGATATGTGTTCTGTAGTCATCATCCTAAAGTACCTCGTTTGATGCTTGTGTGTGTGATAACTTGTGATTACACCATAAACACAATTAAACAGTAATTTTCAGTGAACTTCTACTCAACGCAACATGCGATGCTACGTCGAAACGACAATCTGTTGCTTTCCCCACGCGCTAAGGAATGAATACGTACACACATTCAAGTCGATGCTTAGTCCATTTTCCAGCCACAGGATTCAACTTGGAAGGACTCTCTTCTCTCCCTGCGGTGAACTAGCCTTTCCTGGCTAATTCAGAGGGAAGGGAGGATTGCACTGGCCAAGGAGACCGACGGGGTGCAGCGGGTGGCCCTAAGCCAGCCGATAACGCGAAGACAGCCACCGTGATGCCGTAACGCGAAACGGCCACCATCATGCCGACAACGCCAAGAAGGACACCATGATGCCCGGAGCTCTGTAGGTGGCAACAAGCCAGCCGACAGTGCAAAGGGAGTTACCGTGATGCCTCGATCACGGGAATTTTGCCGAGGGTGTTTTTAAAGAGATTGACAGGAGCCACCCCTCGGCAAACACCTCGGCTCCTACGTGTTACCGGACGCTTCGGCGCCCACCCCTCGTTGCTGCCGCGACGCTATTTGCTTGCTCTGCATTTAGCTTTGTGCCCTATAGCCTATGCTTTCCTTTACGGATTTTTCGGCATTAGGATAACTCTCTGTGCACCTGGTGAACTGGACCCCATCTTCGGGCGCGTGCTCGGACGTGGGCAGACCTTTACCTCCCGCAGGGGAGGGTGTGTCTGGGGGGCCTTAACGTGCCTGCCTTACGGTACACAGAGAGTTGCCATTCTTTTTGCTAGGGACTGGTCTGGCAGACCATTTAATGACTGCCACTCTAGTTATTCGTTTAGGGCGATAGGCAGGTAGGAGCCCCTCCCTTTGGCATTAGTTCTGTCGAAATAGCTGCTGCTAGACAGAACACTGCCTTATTTTCCCGCCACTGGAACCGCCTTGAAAGTTAGCTTCTCTCCCTCACTGTGGTGAAGCAACCCTTGGTTGGCTTCTTCTGAGGGTAGTAAAAGCTTCCTTGAAAAGGTGCAGGACTCCTTTCTCACTGCGGTGAAACAGTCTTTGGGTGGCTGTTTCAGAGGAAAGAGGAATTCACTTTGAAAAGGTTTAGGCCCTCTCCTCCCTCACTGTGGTGAAACAGCCTTTGGGTGGCTGATTCAGAGGGATGAGAAGAACTGCCTGGAAAAAGTAAAAGAGCTCCCTTCCCTCACTGAGGTGAGACAGCCTCCCAAAGGGAATCACTTTGAAAAGGCACAGGCCCTCCCCTTCCTCACTGTGGTGAAACAACCTTTGGGTGGCTGTTTCAGAGGAAAGAGAGGAACCTCCTAGTAAAAGTGCAAGAGCTCCATCCCTCACTGAGAAGCAACCTTTGGGTGGCTACTTCTGAGGGATGAGCAAAAGGGTTCCAAACAATGATGTTCAGTAGGTGGAAGAACATCCCCTCTGGTCTCCCCCCAGGGGTTCACACCTACACATGCTCCTACAATGCCTCTGTCACAATAGCTGCTGCTAGACAGACTACCGACTTACCGTCCCGTCACTGGAACCACCTTGAAAGGTAGCTCCTCTCCCTCACTGTGGGAAAACAGCCTTTGGGTGGCTGCTTTCTGAAGGCTGAAAAAGCTTCCCTGAATAGGTGCAGGACCCCTCCTCCCTCACTGCGGTAAAAGAGTCATTGGCTGGCTATTTCAGAGGGAAGAGGAAATCACTTTGAAAAGGTACAGGGCCTCTCCTCCCTCACTGAGGTGAAACAACCTTTGGGTGGTTGCTTCAGAGGGAAGATAGAAACCACCTGAAAAAAAAGTGAAAGAGCCCCATCCCTCACTGAGGTGAAGCTCCCCTTGGGTGGCTGCTTCAGAGGGATAACCTCCAGGGTTCCAACCAATGATGTCCTGTAGGTGGAAGGACACCCCCTCTGGCCTCTCCCCAGGGGTTTACACCTACACACGTTCCTGCAGTGCCTCTGTCACATTAGCTGCTGCTAGACAGACCACCGCCCTCCCGTCCCGCTACTGGAACCATCTTGAAAGGTAGCTTCTCTCCCTCACTTTCTGAGGGCTGAACAAGCTTCCCTGAAAAGGTGCAGGACTCCTCCTCCCTCACTGTTGTGAAAGAGCCTTTGGATGCCTGTTTCAGAGGGAAGAGGGAATCACTTTGAAAGGGCACAAGGCCTCTCCTCCATCACTGGCCCTGGAATGCGATTCGTCGTTTTGGAATCCGCGGCTTAAATGGGCCAGCCACGGTGTTTACTCTCCGGTCAGGTCAGGAGAGGTAAGCAGTGATTGGTGGTGATGACTGGAACCTAACTCGCTAAACGGAGTGCGTCAGGTCCTACGGAGTGCTGAAGCTTGCCGCGTTCTGGTCACCACAAGCTGGACCCTGTGTGGCTTGGCCTGTAGACATGTCTCCCTCTTCGTCTCCAATCCCCTTGTGCACTGGAGAACTCAACCAGTCTGCCACTAGGGGGGGTCGAGTATAGGCTCCTTTTTCCTCACTTTCTCTCTCTCCCCATCATCTCACCTCGCACCGATCACCTCAATCACGTCACTCACCCGGCATCTCCCCCGACCAATGTACCTTTGACCATGCCAAAAATTAAGATTAAAACTCTCGGTGCCCCAACCCAGAGAAAAAGAGGTAGTCTCGCCAATGCACTTTTCGGTGCGGAGATCAGAGTACTTCGGTACTTCACCCTCCATGACGGCTACCTGGCCTTGATTGAGGACGACGTCCATGCCGAGAAACTCTTCTCGCAGGATGTCGTCCAGTCCCTGGAGAAACTTAGTTACTCCCCTGTCCTCCCTGTGGACATGAAGGCTAAGCTAACGCTTGTCTTCAAAAAACTCGACCGACAAGTCGTAAACGAGGCGGAGCTTGATATTGAGATCACTTCCTCCTTTCCTGACGCCCAAGTTGAGAACATTTTAATAATGAAACTCAATTACATCATCAAGGTCAGGTTCTCTGACCACACCATGGCCAAGAAGATAAAAGAGAAGGGGATATACCTCTTCAAACTATATGTTGCCCCCTGGCAAATCGAGTTTGAGAGGTATACTCCCCTCAATCAATGTATGAACTGCTTAGGTTATAGTCATCTGAAGACCCACTGTAAAGCCGAAAAGAAGACGCGATGCACGGAGTGCGGCTCCAGCACCCACTCCACCAGGGACTGTAAGAGCCCCACCAAGAAATGCCTTAATTGCGGCGGTGTCCACAGAACCTTTGTCAACAGCTGCCCCCACCCGAAAAGAGGCCATGAAGGTCTCCCAAGAGAAGCTTAGGGAGAAGGAAAAGGAAATCGAAACCAAGCCATACAGGGCTGTGGTTCAAAAAACAGCACAGGAGGCAGTGCAAGCTTCCACCAGGACCTGGAAGCCACTCATTAACCAGGTCCGCCAAGAAATCAAACAGACAAAGTCTGAACCATCCATCCATCTGGCTCTCCCTAACGACCTCTCGAAGGAGATCCTTGTGGTCCTCCTGCATGCACACATGCAAAACATCATTGCCCCTGAAAAGGGGTTCAGACATCATGCTAGGGTGGCACTGGAGGCTAACAACTTCCCCGCTCTCGACCTTGGGAAATCCGACTCTTGGGGTATCCTAAAGGTCATAAAACCCCCATCCATGCCTGTTCAGGACCTGCCTGAACTATCACTACCCCAGGCACCAAAGCCACAGCCTATTCAGGCCCAGGCAATGGAGCCCCGACCTCTGCAGGCTCAATCTGCTGAGCCTCTACCACAAAGGATCCATACACCGAGGCCTCAGCCATGGCATCCCCCTCTCGTCAGTCAATGAGACCCAAAAACATTAATATTCCCTCTGTGGCCGATCTTAAGGATGTCACCAGTAATGTCCTTGGCATGGAAATTAAAAATAGATGAATAAAGTGGCTTATAACGAAAAAGAGCATTCTAACATAGTCACAGTTAAGAGGCTTCACAAACACATCAGGGAGGGTAACTTGCATGTCACCAATGCCATGATTGATTATAGCCATGACCTCAACAAATTAAACAAAGGCTACCTCCTTGAATAACAACATATTACACATGGCACACCACACATTACACCCACGCCTCACCATTATACAACACAATGTATTACACTGGACAAACCGGAAAGCTGAACTGTGTAACACATACAGAAAACACGACCCACACATCATACTCATTAACAGCCATGGGCTCAATAACACCAACCCACTCAAGATCTACATGTACACCACCTACTCTTCTAACAAATCACAGGAAAGGAGCGATGGCATAGTAATAGCGGTCAGAAACGACATCTCACACAAAATCATTAATAACTTTCACTCAGACCTACTGGCAGTCGAAATAAACACACCACAAGGACCCATTATACTAGCAACATTATACATTCCACCAAGAAGACCTTACATACCAGAACCTGACATCTTGCAGCTCCTGAGGCACAATAAACCAACATATATCATGGGAGACCTTAACGCAAACCACCCTCTTTTCGGCTACAACCAAACTAACACTGTAGGCAGAGACCTCGCCTCACTCATACAACAAGGCAGACTCACACACCTCGGTCCACACACACCAACATACATAGCACATAACACGGCAACAACACCAGACATAGTCTTAGCAAATCACAGAGCACAACTACACCACCACATCACAACAGACGACGTCACATCCAGCGACCACCTCCCGGTCATCATAACACTTTCAACAAACCCCATCATGATCCCTACACAACCCCGATAATCCTTCAAACATGCAAACTGGGAGGGCTTCAAACAAGCACTTGAAAACACACAAGTAATTGATCTCGAAGGGCAACCCACGCACACAATAAACACCCACCTTGAACAGTGGTACACAGACATACAGACGGCCCGGCAGGCCAGCATTCCCAAAACAACATACAAGACAATCCCTCACTACAGAGAAATACATCATCTGAAATTGCTTAAAATACAATACAGGCACCTACATGACCTTGCAATAACACGGGGCTGGGACGTACAACTACGCACACGATGCAGAGAAATACGAACACAAATCACCCACGAAATTAAAGTAATGAACAAACAACACTGGGAAACACTCACGCGAAGATTATGCCAAAACACAAAAGATCCCAAGAAATTTTGGAGTATCTTCAAAATGCTCATGGGATCGAACATGCAGACAATCACATACATATACAACACACAAAGACAGAAGGTTGACACGGTGGAGGAGATGGAGCTTCTCCACAGAGAATTCTGGCAACAGAATTTTCAAATCTCCCCCACCGAGAACGCCCGATTCGACCACACCACAAAGACCGAGGTTACAAACTACATACAACAACATGGAAACATATTTCTCCCAGAAAACACCATTAGACTGAACACTCACAGAGGACAGTCCCCTCTCCACACCAGAGGAAATAACAAACACAATCAAACGCACCAAAAACACTACACCAGGAGCAAGCAACATAAACAAAACAATCATTGAATATCTTCCACCCAGAATGATCAGCAGACTACGCCATATCTTCAATGCAGCACTGACAACAGGATATTTCCCTGATAAATTCAAACACGCCACCCTCGCTTTAATACCTAAGCCAGGGAAATCCACAAATGAGGTGGGGAATTACCGCCCCATCTCACTCTTAGAAGTCCCAGGCAAACTGCTAGAGAGGGTAATAACACAAAGACTCATCCCACACCTTGAAAACAACCAAATACACAACACTAGGCAATACGGTTTTCGCCCACACAGGGGGACCGAGAGCGCCTTTGCCCTCGCTTATGAGGATATTGCTCTCGGTCTCGCTAACAAGCATCAGACGAACGCAATACTAAGAGACGTCAGCAAGGCCTTTGATAAGGTCTGGCACGACGGTCTCAAATACAAACTAACGCAATTACAGCTGCCCACACACTTCACACGCCTTCTCTGTAGTTTCCTGGACGGCAGGACTGCCACAAAACGCCTTGGAGCCCACCCAGGCACCCCCATCCACCTCAGAAGTGGAGTACCACAGGGAAGCGTTTTATCGCCAACCCTCTATATCCTGTACACAGCCAGTCTACCAGAACCAACACCAACAACAGTCTGCCAGAACCAACTATATTTCCTATGCAGACGATATCACGCAGATCATCACACACCCCTCTAAATCACAACACTTCATGAAACGAACAACAGAAAGAGCTATACAGAACATCAACACCTTTGAGCACCACTAGAAAATACAGACAAACATAAACAAATTCAAACTCATACCCATAGCACGTAGAAAGTCACAACCAATCACAATCAACAACACCAACATACCATACACTAACACAGGAAACATCCTCGGACTACAGTTCACAAGCGCAGGCTTCCTCACACTTTGACTCGATTGCCTGTGATTGTGGGAGTGCACATGTGCAATTGCATAAGGCAGACACGCGAGTCAGAGGACGAGCAAGATGGAGATATTCTACGGAAAAAAGGAGAAAAAATAAATAAATAAATAATGCTCCCCCCCCAAAAAAAAAGAAAAAAAAAATACATATATAGCCTTATCTATTATTATGTCATATCATGTACCCTGTTCACCCATGCCAGCGTACCCAATTCGTACCCTTGCGTACACTGCTACCCCCGCATGGATAATTTATGGTAATTTATTCAGCTTACATTCGTTCGACCTTGTAACTGCTGTTTGTTTTTTGTTTCCATTCATGTTCCTGCTGTTTTTGTTCCTGATTTTTGTTCTTGAACCTGACTTGTTCCACCATTGCTTTGCTCTTGCCTGCTTGCTTGCTTACTTGCTTGCTTGCTTTTTTTTCACCCTATTACTTCACCATTATTCCTATGTCTATATTTTATAACATGCTCCTTTTTCGTTTCCTCCCCGTTGCAAGTCAGACCCAGTTGTCAAAGAATTCACTCCCCACGAATGTTATCACGTACGCCGCTTTATTCGCTTATCGAAACCATCCGCCTCATCAACTCATCTTATCTCATCTCATCCTTTTTCCTCCTGTTCTGTCTAGCTTTACTTCCCCTTCGTCATCCATCTCCTACGTTTTTTGCACCACTCTAAATCTCTCGTTCTGCCACTGGAACTCCCCAGCCTCTTTCTTCTTTTATTGCTTTGCTACTTTGTTAATGCATTTAAAAAACAAATATAAAAACAAATAACTTAAAAAATAATAATAATAAAAATAATGAAATGAAATAAAATAGTTAAGTTGTATTTATGTAGTCCTTAGTTAATTTATTCTACTTTAAGCCATTTTTACCTTCGTTAATCGTTTTTCGTAAAAAAAAATATATATATATATATATATATATATATATATATATATATATATATATATATATATATATATATATATATATATATATATATATATATATATATATATATATATATGTTCAATTAACCTTTTTTTAGTTCCATCAACCCTTTCGCTATAAAATAAAAATTATTAATCGTCAAAAAACTAAAAAATAAATAAATATATATATATGATTATATATACATTTATTAAAAAGAAAGAGAGGTGTTTGCTTTACTTGAAATAACTAAATCACTAATCACATTGCCAGTTCAATAGTAAACTATATATTCAAAGTAACTACCTCCCTCCCCCCCCCCCCCTCGAATTCCAGACATGACCAGAGATTGAGAAAAATTACTATGCAAGGGGTTTTCGCCCCCCCCTACTTTTTTATCTCCTACTTCCTTCAATTTCAACACTTTTCCCTTCTCCACCCCCCATCCTTGGATTTCTTCACCTCTTTACTTCTTAATTTGTTGTTGTTGTTGTTGTTCGAGGATGTTTATCCCTTTGCGAAAAGATAAAGTCGGGTGACATCTGCGTCCTACCCAGGGAGAAGGGCAGCTGCTTGTTACGTATTGTTGACACCTACGACCTTTTATATGTTTAACTTCCTCAGTATCTGCAAAACCATGTTCACATGCGGGCGATTTGTCTGTGTACGCGAGTGGATTTGCATATATTAGGTGTCAAACTATCGAATATATAATAATGAGTATTTATATACATACATACATGCATATATGTGTATATATATACATATATATACATACATACATATATATATTTATATATTTATACAGACACATACACGTGCATATATAGATATACATATATATATGTATATTATATATATTATACACACACACACATATATATATATATCATATATACCATATATACATATGCAAACATATATATATACAGATATGGGTGTGTGTGTGTGAGGGTATGTGTATGTATTTATGTGTTCATATAATGATAGATATATGTGTAGTTTGTGTGGGGGGAAAATATTGTAATTGTATTATCTCGATCCTCCTATTTTATATCGGCTGAAACACTGCAAAATAATTGCCAATTGTTGACTAAAATCATTAAAGTATATATGAGATGATTGTATTAGCTAATATTGTTCACTAATAGAATTCCTGATTTAAAGTAGCCAGAGTACTTTAAATGGGAATGCACTGTATGTCCATAGTTAAGACTGATATGTGTACTGTAGTCATCATCCTATGCGTGTGTGTGTATGTGCGTACGTGATAACTTGTGATTATACCACAAACAAAATTCAACCATAATTTTCAGTGACCTTCCACTCAACGCAACATGCGATGCGACGTCGAAACGACAAATTGTTGCTTTCTCCACGCGCTAGGGAATGAATACATACACACATTCAACCAGATGCACACTCTCGTTTCACGCCGATACACAATCGCATCAAACACATGCATATATATTGGCGTCTGTCGGTATT